GTTGTTGAGATATTTACACGTGAAGAAACAGGAAGTGACATCAAAGGGGAACTCTTTAATAAAAATAAACTCTCTGGTCTTTGTTAAAACAATAACTCTTCATCTCTCTCTGATAGTGTCTCAAAATAATGTAAAGAAACATCAGATTTTTCTCTACAATCTGTGTTGTTAGCTGTTGTAACAATGCTCTGTTTACATTCAGACATTACCCTTTGACATCACTTCCTGTTTCTTCACGTGTAAATATCTCAACAACTGTTCATCTGAGCGGTGTGAAATTTGTTTTGCATTATGTTATCAGTGTTATGATTCCAAAAATGCATTCATGTTTATTACAAAAATTTGATGTCACAGACCCTTTAAACTCTTTGAATATTCATGTTTGTGTTTTATTATTCTGCACAGTCAGCAAAATGCATTGCACTGTGGCTGCTCATGTAATAAAGCAGAATCATGTTTTTAAAAATGTCTGAACTTGTGTTTGTTTTTTGTCTTTAAATTATTTGATCCCATTTTTTTCTGTATTTAAGGGTTGTCTCACTCCGGTCAAAGTCATCATCCCCCCCGGCTCCATCCTCCAGCCGTCCCAGAACGCAGCAGTGGTTGGAGGAAACGTGCTCACGTCCCAGAGAGTGGTGGACGTCATATTCAAGGCGTTTGAAGTGTGCGCCGCCTCCCAGGTCAGACAGATATCATTTCTTTTTTCTAATAAAAGAAATGGTTTTAAACTACCTACAAGCCTTTTGTTGTTGTCTGCTTGGTCAGGGCTGTATGAACAACATCTCGTTCGGCAGTGAGAAGGTTGGTTATTATGAGACTGTGGCCGGAGGGGCTGGAGCAGGACCCGGCTGGGACGGGCGGAGCGGAGTGCACTCTCACATGACCAACACCCGCATCACTGATCCGGAGATTTTAGAAAAGAGGTAGGAGTAATGCACTGTGGATGGAAGAAATATCATCATTAGACTTTGAACTGAGTGAATTTTCATCCTTTGCAATTATATATGCAGATGTTATGTTTGTGAAAAATAAATAAACAAAAAAATAGAACCTTGGTCCAAAGCKCTAGTGTGTTCAGAGGTTTTCCCACGGTTTTCTAACGATGAACGTTTTCTCAAGATAACGAGTTAAGGTTTTCCTCTTGTGCATCATTCGGTAACAGTAAAGACGGCTCGGTCTGTCAGCTGGTCCCTGATGAAGTTTATTACATCAGCATCACTTCAGTGTAAACGTCTGCTGAGCTGCAGTCAGGCCAGGCTTCTTAAAGGGACGATATTATGGCTGTGTCTCAATTCAGGGGCTGGGTCCTCATGAGTGTGCATTTGTCGGCTGCATACGTCATTGCTCCGCGCGGAGGATTGTCCCAATTCGAAGGCTCCTCATCATGCAGCCGAGGAATGCGTCCTACTTCCTGTCTAAATCCGAGGATGCATCCATGTATCCTTACCAGCCGAGGATATCCCAGGATTCAATGCGCGGGCAGCAAAATAAACAGAGAAATGAAGACGGTGGTGTTTTTATTTTTTTAACGTGTCGGCACAGTTTGGAATTTCACCACGGACCGAAGGATTTGTTTTTAAAAATAAGTTTAGCAACTTAGCTGATGAAATTTATGCTGCAATAAGA